TATAGCCCCTAAAGTCGATGTTACGGTCTTTTTGATGTCATCAATATAGTCAAAGAAGCCTCCTTTCAATGGTTTCAATAGTTGAGAGCCCCCCGTGTGGGTTCCGGGGCCCTATTGTGGGGAAAACAAGAATAGACCCACTGCCTCCCCAAAAGCATGTCGTAAGAGTCGACTAACTGGGGAGCTTCCTTTGAAGTCGGAGTGCATCTGCCTGAGAGGCAAGGAACCAGCAGTCTGCATTCAATTGAATCAGATCTGTAAAACTGATGCACATGCAACACTCAGGTTCTGGAGCATGACTGCAGTCCAGAAGTGGACGAACAACCAGAACTTTACGCCAGAGTGTACAGCTGGTGAACACAAAGAAGAAAAGAAATAGTTGAGAGCATACACTTGTTTTTAGGCCACAAATTCCTTTACAACTACCACCCGGTGAGCCGGTGCATTCTCGTGCAGAAGGGGGAAAAACTGCCAAGTGTTGAATACTCTGGCCGGGCTCGGGGAATGCTGAAATAAACTATGGCTGTGACAGTCTGTCCCTCTGGAATAAATTCTCTGTGAATAACTCAGTTGCCGTCATAGACGCACATCAATATTATCTTCACTTTCTATGTTGTCTGAATCGTCTATCCTTTTATCTGTCTGAATCATCTATCCTTTTATCTGTCTGAATCGTCTATCTTTCCATCTAGTGGAATCTTCTATCCTTCCATTTAGTGGAATCGTCTATCCTTCTATCTAGTGGAATCGTCTATCCTTCCGTCTAGTGGAATCGTCTATCTTTCCATCTAGTGGAATCGTCTATCCTTCTGTCTAGTGGAATCGTCTATCTTTCCATCTAGTGGAATCTTCTATCCTTCCATCTAGTGAAATCGTCTATCCTTCCGTCTAGTGGAATCGTCTATCTTTCCATCTAGTGGAATCTTCTATCCTTCCATCTAGTGGAATCATCTATCCTTCCATCTAGTGGAATCGTCTATCTTTCCATCTAGTGGAATCTTCTATCCTTCCATCTAGTGGAATCATCTATCTTTCCATCTAGTAGAATCGTCTATCTTTCCATCTAGTGGAATCATCCATCCTTCCATCTAGTGGAATCTTCTATCCTTCCATCTAGTGGAATCATCTATCCTTCCATCTAGTAGAATCGTCTATCTTTCCATCTAGTAGAATTGTCTATCCTTCCATCTAGTGGAATCATCTATCCTTCCATCTAGTGGAATCGTCTATCTTTCCATCTAGTGGAATCTTCTATCCTTCCATCTAGTGGAATCATCTATCCTTCCATCTAGTGGAATCGTCTATCCTTCCATCTAGTAGCATCGTCTACCCTTCCATCTAGTGGAATCGTCTATCCTTCCATCTAGTGGAATCGTCTATCCTTCCATCTAGTGGAATCGTCTATCTTTCCATCTAGTGGAATCCTCTATCCTTTTATCTGTCTGAATCGTCTATCCTTCCATCTAGTGGAATCGTCTATCCTTTTATCTGTCTGAATCGTCTATCCTTCCATCTAGTGGAATCGTCTATCTTTCCATCTAGTTGAATCGTCTATCCTTCCATCTAGTGGAGTCGTCTATCCTTCCATCTAGTGGCATCATCTATCCTTCCATCTAGTGGAGTCGTCTATCCTTCCATCTAGTGAAATCGTCTATCTTTCCATCTAGTGGAATCGATTATCCTTCCATCTAGTGGAATCGTCTATCCTTCCATCTAGTGGAATCGTCTATCCTTCCATCTAGTGGAATCGATTATCCTTCCATCTAGTGGAGTCGTCTATCTTTCCATCTAGTGGAATCGTCTATCCTTCCATCTAGTGGAATCGATTATCCTTCCATCTAGTGGAGTCTTCTATCTTTCCATCTGGTGGAATCGTCTATCCTTCCATCTAGTGGAATCGTCTATCCTTCCATCTAGTGGAATCGTCTATCCTTCCATCTAGTGGAATCGTCTATCCTTCCATCTTGTGGAATCGTCTATCCTTCCATCTAGTGGAGTCGGTTATCCTTCCATCTATGGTAATCGATTATCCTTCCATCCAGTGGAATCGATTATCCTTCCATCTATTGGAATCGTCTATCCTTCCATCTAGTGGAATCGTCTATCCTTCCATCTAGTGGAATCGTCTATCTTTCCATCTAGTGGAATCGTCTATCTTTCCATCTAGTGGAATCGTCTATCCTTCCATCTAGTTGAATCGTCTATCTTTCCGTTTAGTGGAATCGTCTATCCTTCCATCTAGTGGAATCGTCTATCTTTCCGTCTAGTGGAATCGTCTATCCTTCCATCTAGTGAAATCGTCTATCCTTCCATCTTGTGGAATCGTCTATCCTACCATCTTGTGGAATCGTCTATCCTTCCATCTAGTGGCATCGTCTATCCTTCCATCTAGTGGAATTATCTATCCTTCCATCTAGTGGAATCGTCTATCCTTCCATCTAGTGGAATCATCTATCCTTTTATCTAGTGGAGTCGTTTATCCTTCCATCTAGTGGCAACGTCTATCTTTTCATCTAGTGGCATCGTCTATCCTTCTATCTAGTGGCATCGTCTATCCTTCCATCTAGTGGAATTGTCTATCTTTTCATCTAGTAGAATCGTCTATCCTTCCATCTAGTAGCATCGTCTATCCTTCCATCTAGTGGAATTGTCTATCCTTCCATCTAGTGGAATCGTCTATCAATCCATCTAGTGGAATCGTCTATCCTTCTATCTAGTGGAATCGTCTATCCCATCTAGTGGAATTGTCTATCTTTCCATCTAGTAGAATCGTCTATCCTTCCATCTAGTGGAATCATCTATCCTTCCATCTAGTGGAATCGTCTATCCTTCCATCTAGTGGAATCGTCTATCAATCCATCTAGTGGAATCGTCTATCCTTCCATCTAGTGGAATCGTCTATACTTCCGTCTAGTGGAGTTGTCTATCCTTCCATCTAGTGGAATCGTCTATCCTTCCATCTAGTGGAGTCGTCTATCCTTCCATCTAGTGGCATCGTCTATCTTTCCATCTAGTGGCATCGTCTATCCTTCCATCTAGTGACATCGTCTATCTTTCCATCTGTCTGAATCGTCTATCTTTCCATCTGTCTGAATCGTCTATCTTTCCATCTGTCTGAATCGTCTATCTTTCCATCTGTCTGAATCGTCTTACCGTTTTTCTGAATAGTCTATCCATTCATCTATCTGAATCGTCTATCTATTTTGTCTGAATCATTCTATCCTTTTATCTGACTGAATCATCTATCCATTTTTTTATCTGAATCGTCTATCTATTTTGTCTGAATCATTCTATCCTTTTATCTGACGGAATCGTCTATCTATTCTTTTATCTGAATCGTCTGTCCATTTGTCTGTCTAAATTGTCTATCAAATGGTCTGTGTAAATTGCCTATCCATCCATCTGTCTGAATCGTCTATTCATTCATCTGTCTGGGTCGCCTGTCTATCTGTCCCTCACTTCTCTGTCTTTTTTGTCAACCTTTTTGACTACTCCTGTATTGTAGCTCCGGCTGATACCAGGCGTTCTTCTTCCAACGTGCTCGGGGACGGGGGGGGGGGGGGGCCTCATGTTTGGGGCCGATAACAGACTACACAAGTATGTTACATTCACATCGTATTGTATAGTCAGCGATTTAGCCTTGTCCTGTGTAAACGTTGTGGAGGGGGGACGGGGGGGGGGTAAATAAAGAGGAAAGACAGGAAAGAAAGAGTGTGGGGGGGGGGGGCGGGTGTAGGAAGATTTGTGTCGAAGGAAAGATATAGAGGGAAAGGCGAGATTTTGTGGGTTTGCTAGAAGGAAAGGAAAGGAAAGGAGACAGGGGATCTGTGAATAAGAGTTTTGGAGCAGTAAAGAGAAAAAAGAAAGAAAGAAAGGAACAAACAAACAAACAAACAAACAAACAAAAAGAACGGTTTTGCTCTGAAAATGTGGCCTATATTCTTAGACATAACCAAACAATACCAATGTGCAACTGTTGTTCTGAACGATAACTGCTAAAAATGCCCACTGGTTTGAGCACATCATGAAGCCATCTTGGTTTTATCAAAGTCTGTTTAATTAATTAAGTACTCACACACAATACAAAAGATCGTTGTCTAGCCTGCAACCGCCCAGAAAAACCACAAAGCCAGGTAAGTATTGTGCCTACACATGTGGTCTGTCTTCTCTATGTGTGTGTCTCCATCTTAAATGTATGTTTACTCATGTGACGTCTGTGCCTAGAGCTGTCAGCATTCAACAGTCTGTCATGTCACCCAGAACCCCGAGTCCAGGTCTCGGCGACTTCTCGTGACCCTCGGCAACTTCTCGTGACCCAGCATTAGCCAAAACCATGCGATTTGAAACCCGCTACAGCTGAAGTTAATGATTCATCAATCTGGCATGCAAAAATCAAACACGCGAAGGTTTCCCTGCAAATCCTGGCTTCGGGGAACTCTCAGAACTGGTCGTTGAAACTCAGAAAGCAGACTGTTGAACGCTGTCTTGTCTTGTTTGTGTCTGTCAGTGATGTCCATGCATGTACTCCCGGCCTGGACAGAACCAGTGTGCGAAATTTCTACAAGTAACTTTTGACCAGTCAGATCACATTTTTTTTCTGCCAGTTTGACGTCGTATCGTCCACTTCTTTCACTAGTATAATACGTGGCGGTTGACCACAAGTGACCAAATCAATTTTAACTTATCAAATATGGCCTTGATAAATAATTTCCGAAACTCGCATCCTGGTTTTCTAGCTCCTGGAGTTTTTCCAAATTATTTTTTTTTCCAAAGATTGTTTTAAACTCGTTATAATTTTTTGCCCAGTTCGTAAAATTCAGATTTTGAAATTTGGTATATATTTCCGAATTTAGCCAGTTACAATTGCACGATTGTCAGTTCTTAACATAAAAACAGTACTTTTTTTAAGTATTGCGAAATAATTTTCTAAAAAATATAATTTTTACAATAAACTATAATTAGATTGGTCAAGTGGTCACTTGTTTCCCATAATTTCGCAGACTGTGTTCTGAAATTCTCGCAACTGAGCCACCTGAAGCAACACTACCGCTCTCACACAGGAGAGAAGCCCTACAAGTGTGCTCACCCGGGTAGGTATTCTGTGCTGTCTGGATACCATTTCATCCCGGTATTTCATACATTGACACTATTTTACTCATTGACACTATTTTACTCATTGACACTATTTTACTCATTGACACTATTTTACTCATTGACACTATTTTACTCATTGACACTTCACATTTTTACACATTTCCGCCCTCGAATTTCACAATTTGACACTATATTGCCCTAGTATTTCACAATTTGACACTATATTGCCCTAGTATTTCACAGTTTGACACTATATTGCCCTAGTATTTCACAATTTGACACTATATAGCCCTCGTATTTCACAATTTGACACTATATTGCCCTAGTATTTCACAGTTTGACACTATATTGCCCTAGTATTTCACAGTTTGATACTATATTGCCCTAGTATTTCACAGTTTGATACTTTTCCGCCCTAGCATTTCACAATTTGGCCCTATTCTGCTTTAGTATTTCACATTTGACACTATATCCACCAATACCTAACAATATTCCACCCTGGTATTTCAAATTTTCACACTATTTAACACTAATACTTTATATCTTCCACTATTTCAACCCATTATTTCACATGTTGCCACTAGGAGATTTTTTAACCTCAGATATTTCACAATTGGACACTATTTACCTCTCACTAGTTCACATTTGGACACTATTTACCTCCCACTAGTTCACATTTGGACACTATTTACCTCCCACTAGTTCACATTTTGACACTATTTACCTCCCACTAGTTCACATTTTGACACTATTTACCTCCCACTAGTTCACATTTGGACACTATTTACCTTCCACTAGTTCACATTTGGACACTATTTACCTCCCACTAGTTCACATTTGGACACTATTTACCTCCCACTAGTTCACATTTAGACACTATTTTACTCCCACTAGTTCACATTTGGACACTATTTACCTCCCACTAGTTCACATTTGGACACTATTTACCTCCCACTAGTTCACTTTTGGACACTATTTACCTCCCACTAGTTCACATTTGGACACTATTTACCTCCCACTAGTTAACATTTGGACACTATTTACCTCCCACTAGTTCACACGTGGACACTATTTACCTCCCACTAGTTCACATTTGGACACTATTTACCTCCCACTAGTTCACATTTGGACACTATTTACCTCCCACTAGTTCACATTTGGACACTATTTACCTCCCACTAGTTCACATTTGGACACTATTCACCTCCCACTAGTTCACATTTGGACACTATTTACCTCCCACTAGTTCACATTTGGACACTATTTACCTCCCACTAGTTCACATTTGGACACTATTTTACTCAATCAGACTAGTAATCTCTGTGTTTTAGTCTAAGTTGACTCAGCACTTTGGTATAGCACATATCTGTCAAACTGGTTGTTGTTTTTATCTGACTGTGTAATACGTGTGCGTACATGCGTGCGTGCGCCAATGTGTGAGAGAGAGAGAGAGAGTGAGAGATAAAATGCTGCAGTGTTGGTCATTTCTGCTATGGTCTAACTACTCTATCCATTAGTATATGTCTTAACTGATTTGTCTATTCTCACATTGTCCATCCGTCTACTTTTACATTGTCTGTCTCTTGTCCTACAGTGTGCATACTTTTCATTCCCAAGTGTCTGTCTGTTCTCGTCTATATATGACAGGGAATATTCACGAAAATCTGTCCTAAATAAACTGTGACTCGCCTTATGGTTTTCTTCTATCTGTCTGCTCTCACTGTGTCTGTCTGTTTCAGCTGTTGCATTCACTGTCTGTCTATGTACTCATGCTGTCTGCCTGTCTGCTTGTGCTGCATCTGTCTTTTCCTTGGAGTTGCTGACATTTCCTCTATCAAGTCAGTAGTCAGTTGTCGTTAACCATGTCGTATTGTCCCACCAAGTGCCAACATGGTCATATTTAAGGTCGTCAGATACAAGTGTCAGTTAGGTCATTTATGTGTGCAACTAAAATTAGCTTATTTGTTCACATACAAGGTCTTTTACCGACATTTTAAGTGCTAAATAATGTGTGTCTCAAGTTTATCGGATATCACGTCCCTTATTGTCATTTTCGGTGCATTATATGGTGTGTCAAAGTCATCAGATATCACGTCCTTTATTGTCATTTTCGGTGCATTATATGTTATGTCTTAAAGTCATCAGATATCACGTCCTTTGTTGTCATTTTAGGTGCAATATATGGTGTGTCTTATCAGACAAACGGCCATTTCATGACATTTCTTTGAAGCGCACTTAGTTCAGTCATACAGTCAGATTTTTTGTCAGATACAGGGTCATATCTTAGGTGAGATCTATCGTTGGTAGATTCAAGTTTAGATAAATGCATACTGTCACGCTGCAGGTAAAATAGATTCAGGTAGATCGGGTAGGTTCACCCCAACAGATTACAGATAAGATTAATTTATCCTGTCAGATTACAGCTGAGATAGATTCGCCTGTCAGATTACAGCTGAAATAAATTCACCCTGTCAGATTACCGATAAGATAGATTACCCTGTCACATTACAGATAAGATAGATTCACGCTGTCAGATTATAGATAAGATAGATTTGTCCTGTCATGTTAGATCCGAGATAGATTCACCTGTCAGATTACATCTGAGTTAGATTCACTCTGTCAAATTACACTTGAGGTAGATTTACCTGTTAGATTACAGTAGAGATAGATTTACCCTGTCAGATTACAACTGAGATAGATTCACCTGTCAGATTATTGTTGAGATAGATTCACCTGTCAGATTACATCCGAGATAGATTCACCCTGTCTGATTACATCTGAGATAGATGTACCCTATCAGATTACAGTTGAGATAGATTCACCTTGTCAGATTACAGCTGAGATAGATTCACCTTTTCATATAAGATAGGTCAGGTTCAAGGTCAGATAGATTCACTCATGCGGTTTGAAACCTGTTACAGTCAGACCGGTATGTGAACGGGCTAGCTATAGTGGCACTGAGTCATATTAGGAATAAGAGCTTTCCTGTATGGGTTCCCGGGGAAGGGGCGATGGGGTGGGGGTAAAGAAGAATGGACCCTCCGCCCTAACCAGTCAGATTGTTGGACTGAATGTATAGGTGTAGAAGCCAAGCTGAACACCGCAATACAACAAGCCAGCAGCTATTGCATTGGCTGACGCGGAGAGAGGAGGAAGAAGAGGTGGGTGAGAAGTATGAGAAGGAAGAAGAAGAAGCGGAAGTGGACGAATAAAATACTATAATTCTGATTTCAGAACGTGTTACGAGAGAATGTCCCCTGTAAGACCATATTCCAGTGAGAATGTCCCTTGTAAGACCATATTCCAGTGAGAATGTCCCCGTGTGGGTTCTGGAGCCCTATTTGGGGGGGGGGGGGGGGGGAGAGAGCAGCAAGAAAATTCCCACTGCCTACCCAAAGCATGTCGTAAAAGGCGACTAATTAGGAGCTTCCTTGGAATTCCGAGCGCATTTGCTTGAGGGGCAAGAAACAAATAGTCTGTATACAAATGAGTCAGATCTGAAATGAGTCAGATCTGAAATGAGTCAGATTTGTAAAAGGGATGTGCTCGCAACACTCAGTATCTGGAACAGGAAGAAGGAGAAGAAAAAGAAGACAATTTCTCGTCAAATTGTCCCCTGCAAGACCACGTCTCGTCAAAATGTCCCCTGCAAGACCACGTCTCGTCAAAATGTCCCCTGCAAGACCATAGGTGGTCAAAATGTCCCTCAAGTCCCGTAAAAATGTTTTCCGTTAGGCGATGTCCCAACGAGACTGGCATTAAGCAAACTGCAAGTGGTCAGAAAATGAAATTAACGACAGGTGTATGCACTCAAGAATGCTGCCAGATTCAGTTGCCAAGTGGTAACCTTGTTTCCAACTGGACCATGAAGTTGCACAGCTCCAAAAAACAAAGTGGGTGTCTCATCTCAGTTAGTAAAACCAAACACGTAAGTGTATGGCCCAGATAGCTGACAGATCCCAGGATACTCACACAACTTCGCTCATACACTGGAGTCACATATTTTCTACATATTATATACACATCTCGTTACCAAGGTCGTAGCGCCTTTAGCTGGTTACTCATCAATTTTAGCTGTATTTAGCGACATTTAGCTGGATAATTAGCCACATTAGCAAGGCAGTTGGCAGCTTCGGCCGGGTGATAAGTCACTTTAAATGTGTCCTGTAAGAGATTAGCTGATTGTTTCTCGTAAATGTCATTGTGTGCGTGTACATGTAAGTGCGGAGACTGTAAGACTGACACGGTACACCTCACGTCTACAGACTGCAGTCTGACATTCTCTCAGTTGAGCCACCTGAAGCAACACTTTCGCTCACACACGGGCGAGAAACCTTACACGTGTTTGCGCCACGGTATGTAGTCCAGCCTACTCCAGTGTGTTTGTGTTCGTTTTGTCGCACAGCCTTTTAACCTCGCATCTGTTTACTATGATCCGTTGTAGCGTCCTCTAAACAACTGTGTCTGGTTTTCTAGATATAACCTATACATCTGTACATAAACATTTAATCTATACAGCCGTACTTTTAATCGTGATGTCTGCAGCTAGTCTACATGTTTATACACAGAATCTACCCGTCTGCACAGTAAATATTCGGTAGGACACATATTGATCACCTGTTTCTAGATACATATGTAGATAAGTGTCTACACATTTGTAGATAGTTATTTGTCTCCCGGTACTATCTACACATTTGTCTATTTGTCTATAAATTATCCACAAATCTGGAAAATGAATAACGATACATGGACAAATATGGACACTGAAGTGTGAAACCAGTGGACTCAAATCTGGATAGCGAAGTAGGATACCAGGGCGGCGAAGTAGGATACCAGGTAACTCAAATCTTGATAACGAAGTATGATACCACGTTACACAAATCTGGATAACGAAGTTTGATACCACGTTACACAAATCTGGATAACGAAGTTTGATACCACGTTACACAAATCTGGATAACGAAGTTTGATACCACGTTACACAAATCTGGATAACGAAGTTTGATACCACGTTACACAAATCTGGATAACGAAGTTTGATACCACGTTACACAAATCTGGATAACGAAGTATGATACCACGTTACACAAATCTGGATAACGAAGTATGATACCACGTTACACAAATCTGGATAACGAAGTTTGATACCACGTTACACAAATCTGGATAACGAAGTATGATACCACGTTACACAAATCTGGATAACGAAGTTTGATACCACGTAGCACAAATCTGGATAACGCAGTTTGATACCACGTAGCACAAATCTGGATTACGAAGTTTGATACCATGTAACACAAATCTGGATAACAAAGTTTGATACCACGTAACACAAATCTGGATAACAAAGTTTGATACCACGTAACACAAATTTGGATAACGTAGTTTGATACCACGTAGCACAAATCTGGATTATGAAGTTTGATACCACGTAACACAAATTGGAGAACGAAGTTTGATACCACGTAGCACAAATCTGGATTACGAAGTTTGATACCATGTAACACAAATCTGGATTATGAAGTTTGATACCACGTAACACAAATCTGGGGACATAGATCTGGACAATAAAGTGGGATACAAGTTGACTTAAATCTGGCCACTGAAACAACTGTAGCGTTGTTCAAGAAATATGTAACATGGGTCAGATTGTGTTACAGACATCTCGTAATAATTTGTTTGTAAATAGTCTTAAGCTAACATTAACTGTTATCCTGCTATCGTCTAGACTTGATTGATTTCGTTCGGTTAAGGATTATACATAATTATGTCTTGATTGTTCTGTTGTTGTTGATTTGACCTAAGAAAAGAAAACACAATTTGACCACGTTCAACACTGCTGAAGCCAGTTTCGGTTATAATTGTGACATGGTTTTATGTTTCGCCATGTTCAGTGGCTAGCATTGTTTGTTTTGCCCGTGAATGTGGGCACCCTGAACATCTGTGAGTGCTCTCTGTCGCTTATGTCCTTTTGGCTGGAGTTTCATTGTGCTTGTTCGTCTTCTTGGTTGTGCTTCCGGTGTTTCTGTTACTGATTCTTTGGTGGGGTCCTGATATGGGTTAGTCCTGATCTGGGTCATTCCTGATGTGATGTGAGGCTGGACGTTGTCCTTTGAGGGGCCCAGGCAAGTACTTGGGCTGAGTTCTTTTGGCGGTCAGTGTTCAAACCAAAAATTCTGAACAAGATCTTGTTTCTACCTCAGTAAATAAACATGATACTTGTTGTCCCGTTATCGAGTCTCTAAGGATATCTTCAGTCGGGAATTACACATCATTAAAAGATGTCGACATCCACTCTAAGATAGCTCGTCCACTCTAAGGTAGATAGTCCACTCTAAGATAGATAGTTCACTCTAAGGTAGCGATTCATCTTTACGATAGATTTTTTCCACGGTGACAGATCTTCCACTGTAAGATTCTACGCTAAGATAAAATAAATCTTCCACTCTAATTAAGACATTCCTTTGTAAACTAAAGATCCACTTTGAGATAATTAGAGAAGACACATTGTCTGGGACAAACAGATAAACGTTGTAACAGACAGATCCTTTTCTCAGAGATAGATGTTAATATAAAAGATTCTAGACAGACTAAAATAGATTTTCTATTCTAATATAGATCTTTTACTGTAAGAAAGACAAAATACTTCAGACTAGGTAAACAGATGAATATGAATGTCATAAACAGACAGATTTTCCACTCTATGATATACTTTCCATGCTAAGATAGACTTGTCATTTAAAATAGTCTTTCCATTCTGGGATAGGTCTTTCACTCTAATATATAGATCAACTGTAAGATAGAAATCCACCCTAAGATATACATCTACTCCAAGATTGTTCTTCCTCTATAAGATAGTTAGAGAAGACACATTGTCTGGGACAAACAGGTAAATGGTAGATAGACTTTCCAATCTTATGATAGAGTAGATACATTAGCGTGGGCAGACAGCTGAATGTTCAAAAAAAGGTAGGTCTTCCACTCTGAGATAGAGATTCTCTCTAATATAGATAGAGAAGACACATGACTTTGGGCAAACATTTTAATATTGTGAGCAGATAGAACTTCCGCTCAATGATAGACATCCACTCTAAGATATATATTTCACGCTAAGACAGTGTAAGATAGATCTTTCACTCTGAGACATACATCTACTCTAAGATGGGTCCGCCACTCTAAGACAGATCTTTTATTCTAAGACAGGCGTCCGCTTTAAGATAGATCTTCCTCTCTATGATAAACCTTTCACTCCTAGAGAAACATCCACTCTAAGATAGATCTTTCACTCTAAGACAGACATCCACTCTAAGATAGATTTTCCACTCCAAAATAGATCTTCCACTTTAAGATAGATCTTCCACTGTAACACAGACAAACACTATAAGATAGATCGTCCACTCTAAAACAGAAATACACTCTAAGATTGATCTTCCACTCTAAGACAGACAATGATAGATCTTCAATTTTAAGATATGCATCCACTCTAAGATAGATAGAGTAGACAAATTGGCTTGGGCAAGCAATTAAATGTTGTAAATAGACAGACATTCCACTGTATGATAGATCATCCACTCTAAGATAGATCTTCCATTGTAACACAGATATACTCTATAAGATAGATCTTTCACTGTAATACAGACATACAGTCTAAGATAGATCGTCCACTCTAAAACAGACATACACTGTAAGATAGATCTTCCACTCTAAGACAGACAATGATAGATCTTTAATTTTAAAATAGGCATCCACTCTAAGATAGATAGAGTAGACACATTGGCTTCGGCAAGCAGTTAAATGTTGTAAACAGACAGACATTCCACTGTATGATAGACATCGACTTTAAGATAAATTGAGTAGACATTAACTTGGGCAAACAGTTAAATGTTGTAAACAGATATATCTTCCACTTTAGGATAGATATCCACTCTAAGATACTTATTAGCTTTGGCAAACATTTCAGTGTTGTAAACAGACAGACATTCCACTCTAAAATACTCATTTGCTTGGGCAAACAGTTCAGTGTTGTAAACAGACAGACATTCCACTCTAAGATACTCATTAGCTTGGGCAAACAGTTCAGTGTTGTAAACAGACAGACATTCCACTCTAAGATACTCATTAGCTTGGGCAAACAGTTCAGTGTTGTAAACAGACAGACATTCCACTCTATGATAGTGAGAGAAGTCATGTTGCCTTAATTTCGCAGACTGCGCGCAAAAATTTGCCCAGCTCAGCCATCTGCAGCAACACACACGCCTGCACACAGGCGAGCGCCCTTACAAGTGTAGTCATCCCGGTACGTATGTTTGTCTGTCTGTCTGTGTGTCTGCATGCTGCGAGTACCTGTGTTTCAAGAGTTCGTCTCCGTGTTTCAAGAGTTCGTCTCCGTGTCGTTTTGATCTATGCTTTTGTAGAGACTGTTGTTGATGTTCTATCATTTACAACACCCATATCTACAGTGATACCTCGGCTAACGAAGATATTTATTCGATGTTTCGGCCTTGGTTGGTGAATTTGAATACAGCTAGCGATTTATTTATTGAATACTCGCGTTAAATAGCGCGGCGTTTTATACTCTGAATTCCTACGGGAAATTGCGTTTCGGCTAACGAAGATTTCGAATGACGATTTTGTTTCTGGAATGAATTATCTTCGTTAGCCAGTGTATCACTGTACGTGATAGAACTGGGAAAACCAATTCAGAAGGTAATTGTTAAAGTAGATATGCTTATTTTATATTAATTAATTACTTGTGGCTGCAGTATAAGTAAAGAAAAAAAACAAAAACCCGATGATGCCTGCTGGTTGTCGCCTGTGTCAGTAGTCATCTATGTAACAGGAAGTGTGCCAAGATATTCGCAAATTCCCGCCATTAGAACTTTAAAACATGGCCGTCGTGGCTAGTCTTGTTTTCTTTTCACTCTGACTGAGGTTAAAGATCAGTTGTTATAGGCATGTCAAATCTACTCAAAACCGTAATACCATTAATACACAGTCAGATTCACAGTAAATCAGGTTAACAAGCAGTCAAGTTCACAAATAGTGAGATTCACAATCAGATACACAGACAGTTAGGTTCACACGCAAACAGGGTGACGCACAACTAGCTTCACAAACAATTAGCTTCACGATAAATCAGGTACACAGACAGATTCACAAACAATTATATAACACAAGCAATCAGTTTCACGAACTGCAGATTCACAAGAAGTCAGTTTCACAAACTATCTTATTCACAGACAATCAGATTCACAAACAAACAGATCCATTAACCATCACAAATTCGACAGTCTGATCAACAAATTAGCGTGTCAGTGTTGACATAACCTCCTGAACACACGCAACAGTTAGTTTTACTTCTCTCTTTCTTTCTCTCTCTCTCTCTCTCTCTCTCTCTCTCTCTCTCTCTCTCTCTCTCTCTCTCTCTCTCTGTCCCATCTTAGCAGCTTTCAGAGTAGCTAGGTAATTATTTTTTTTGTTATTTTTCTGTCCTGAGAAAATAGCAAGAAGGGTTGTGTGGGTTAGTTTATCAACTGAATGGGTCATTAAAACAATAAGGTATGTGTGTAAAACAAGTACGTAGGTTGGTACATCAACTGGGTGAATTAGTAAAACAATGCCGAGGTATAGTTAAACGGTTGGATGGCTCAGTGCAACAAATGGTTGGGTTGATATAATCATCAAAGGATAAAGTGTGGTTATTGTATGATGCTTTTCTTTGTGTAAAGCGATTGTACCTAGTTCTACTGCTTCTCCTTCTCCTCCTCTTCCTCATCCTTCTTCTTTCTTCCCCTTCTCCTCCTCAGTAAACTTGAAGCTGTTACCATCTGTCTAACTTATCCTCTCTACTCCTTCCGAGACCAGACAAGTGGAACACCTTGTACGGAGGAAAAGAACAGCTTGTGAAAACATGCAAATTCCACTACATAGCATTGGGCCAAAGGGCGAAAGCCCATGCGCCGCTGGATCGATAACAACAACAACAACAACTAACTTGTCCTCTAACAGAGCCGGTATATGATAGAAGCGTCGTGTGCAGATTGAACAAAATATGGAAATATATCTGCTGGCTTCATAAAATATGAAAATTAATGTGCTCATTGGATAAAATATGAAAATGAATGTGCTGAATGGATAAAATATATAAATTAATTTGCTCATTAATTAATAAAATATGAAAATGTATGTGCTCATTGGATAAAATATGAAAATGAATGTGCTGAATGGATAAAATACGAAAGTGAATGTGCTGTTTGGATACAATATATAAATGAATGTGCTGATTTAATAAATTATGAACATTAATGTGATGATAAGATAAATTAAGGTAATATGTGCATACTGAATAAATTATGAAAAAAATATTTGTTGGTTAGATAAATTTGGAAATTTTCAGATGGTTTGATTTCTTAGAAGTAATAATGTTTTGAATGCACATAGACAAGGGAAAATGTATTAGTGTTCTTTTTTTCTTCTGCATTTGTTGTTGAAAAGGTTGGCAGGTTTTGTTACGATTGGCAGCCAGGCTGCAGTTTGTACGTCTTTTTACCCAACACATCCGATTTCAATACAACCCTGTTAGTCACATTTTGCAGTGGGTCCACTATTTATCCCCCCAAAATTGGGTCGGGAAACCCACACTGGGAAAGATCCCGTTTGAAATCCTGGGGGCGGAAACTTCCGATCTTCTGTGTGCAGGTTTACACTTGTTGGTAGTCACGTGATACGAGGCATGGCCGCCGTCGTCTGGACCAGGTTTGTCTTTTGTAGTTTGATGGTACAGCCACAAATCGTGTCCTCGACCTCTTATCATTAAGCTGTTTCTATACCACTTGTTAGCTGTGCATGCAACGGCTTTAATCGGGTGCTTACGCTTTCCGTTTAAAGCAAAATGCATAATTTTACTGTTTCTTATGATTAGTATTATTACAGATACTCTGGTTAACATCTTGAACACGAAATACTCCAGCTGGTTAACTTCTTGAACACACTTGTTGGCCAACACCTTGAACACAAATACTCCAGTTGGTTAACTTGTTGAACACAAATGCTCCAGTTGGTTAACTCCTTGAACACAAATGCTCCAGTTGGTTAACTCCTTGAACACAAATGCTCCAGTTGGTTAACTCCTTGAACACAAATGCTCCAGTTGGTTAACTCCTTGAACACAAATGCTCCAGTTGGTTAACTCCTTGAACACAAATACTCCAGTTGGCTAACGCCTTGAACACAAATACTCCAGTTGGTTAACTTGTTGAACACAAATGCTCCAGTTGGTTAACTTGTTGAACACAAATGCTCCAGTTGGTTAACTTGTTGAACACAAATGCTCCAGTTGGTTAACGCCTTGAACAAAGCCCAGAGAACGCTCGCTGAATGCCTATGCCACTCATTCAGAAACTGTAACATGTGACAGTTACCAGTAACCATTACTAGAATACTAGTTGCGTACACATGTTTTCAGCAACATAGCGACGAGGAGGACAATCTTGCGTGATACCTTCTCCAGTGTAATCGCAATCTACTAACGCTTACATATGTGTATTGATCAAGTCTCGCCACTGCTCTATATGTAAGATTTAGAAGGGATGCATAGGCGTGCTAAACTACACATGATGGTACCCTGGTAACATGGCACTTTTCTGGGGGATAATCCAAGAAACAGTTTCTCGTCTTGGAGCCTCGAAAATGTAGAATAGCTAGAGTCGATGTTTCCTTTGAGGTCGGAGTACAACTGTCTGAGAGGCAACAGTCTGCACGCTAATAATCAAGATGTGTAATGCAGGCGTGCATGCACTACTCATGTTCTGAAACAATACTAAATCCACAAATGGATGAACAACCAGAACAGAACTTTCCGCCGGAGTTTACAGCCAGTGAAAATGAAGAAGAAGAAATGTAGAAGGATTGAATGACTTTATCTGCTGATTAATGTCCAGTAGTAGGGATAGTTACAAAATAACTACCATTTGTATCATTGTTTTCCTCTGACTTCCGCAGGTTGTGGGAAGGCTTTCTCCCAGCTGTCTAATTTGCAATCTCACTCACGCTCACACATGACGGACAAACCGTTCCGATGCAACTCCTGCTACAAATGCTACGCAGATGAGCAGTCTCTGCGGGAGCACATCCCTAAACACTCGGACACGAAGCATCTCAAGACACACATCTGCCATATATGTGGCAAATCATACACGCAAGTACGTATGCTTTCTTGTATGTGTGAAGTGTTGGGTGTGTGTTGTGTTGTGTATGTGCTGTGTTGTATACATTCTGTATTGTGTGCATGCCATGTTGTATGTGTACTGTGTTGTATATATGATGCGTAAAATGCGTGTTGTGTTTTGGGCATGTAGTGTTGTGTGCATGTTGTGTTGTATATGTACTGTGTTGTGTGCGTGTTGTGTTATATGTGTACTGTGTTGTGTTGTATGCATCTTGTGTTGTATGTGTGCATGCTGTGTTGTGTGCCTGCTGTGTTGTATGTGTGTATGTTTTGTCTGTATGTACTGTTGTATGTGTGCTGTGTTGTGTGTGTGAGTGCAATGCTGTATGTGTTCTGTGTGCATGCTGTATTTGTGTTGTTTGTGCCATTTTATGTGTGTGCTTTGCTGTGTGGCAGATGTTTGCTTCTAGACTTCAGGAGAAAACAGTCTAAACATGATGGTCTGATCATGAGACATGGTCAGAACATCATGAGACATGGTCAGAACATCATGAGACATGGTCAGAACATCATGAGACATGGTCAGAACATCATGAGACATGGTCGTGAAATTGTTTTGCAGTCTGGAAACTGAAAAATATCAACACATGAAATGAAACATAAGTGCCAGAGTGAGAGCTGAAGATATGATAGTGCTATAGTGACTTGACATCACTGGTTACAGATGACATGTTAGTAATGTGAGAACATGACATCATTGATGACATGTCATGAATGACATGACAGCATTGATGACATGACAGTATTATGACAACCTAGCATGAAAGGACATGACACAGTAAATAACATCATAATATGACACATTGACAGCATAACATGGAGAATGACATGACAGTTTTATCTGCCACATGACTAATCAGCACTGTGATAAACAACTTTATTGCTGTTCTGTCATGTGGCATATAAAACATTGTCATGTCATTTTATCATGACATGCTTTAAGTTCATGTTGTTATGTCATTTTGTCATGTCATACTGTTATGTCATTTTGTCATGTCATTTGGTCATGTGTTATGACAGGATGATTGTATCATGATGAGATGACCTGACACCACTGATGAGTGACACAAATGACATGACATTACTATAATGACATGATAGACTTGACAACCCTGCCTGACAGTAATCACATGCCACGTCTGTCGCCAGGAAACATACCTGACACGCCACATGGGCAAACACTCACAAGAAAACGTACCCAAGATCATGACGCGGCCTATCAAACAGGAGCCAATGGACTTGGTGGATCGCGACTTCATCGGGGCACGACTCCCCGATAGGTCCACGCCCTCTGACCTCAGCATGACCGGTGGCGGCGCCACCTCATGCAGCAAAGGGAGTGCACCGACATCCGCCTTCATGCCATTGTCTCCTTTTGCAGCCAACACCGTGAGTTCTTCCTCTGGGCCAGGATACCACTACAGGTGAGTTGTAGAACAGTACAGGGGAGTTGTAGAATAATACAGGTAAGTTGTAGAACAATGCAGTTGAGTTGTAAAACAATGCAGGTGGGTTGTATAACAATGCAGGTGGGTTGTAGAACAATGCAGGTGGGTTGTAGAACAGCATAGGGGAGGATGAGTAGTCTGTAGAGATTTCTGGCCTAGAGATTTCTTGGGACTCTATTTCCCGTAGAAGCATTGGCTCCAGTCTGTCTGTCAAGTCTGTTTCCCGTAGAAGCATTGGCTCCAGTCTGTCTGTCAAGTCTGTTTCCCGTAGAAGCATTGGCTCCAGTCTGTCTGTCAAGTCTATTTCCCGTAGAAGCATTGGCTCCAGTCTGTATGTCAAGTCTATTTCCCGTAGAAGCATTGGCTCCAGTCTGTCTGTCAAGTCTATTTCCCGTAGAAGCATTGGCTCCAGTCTGTCTGTCAAGTCTATTTCCCGTAGAAGCATTGGCTCCAGTCTGTATGTCAAGTCTATTTCCCGTAGAAGCATTGGCTCCAGTCTGTATGTCAAGTCTATTTCCCGTAGAAGCATTGGCTCCAGTCTGTCTGTCAAGTCTATTTCCCGTAGAAGCATTGGCTCCAGTCTGTCTGTCAAGTCTATTTCCCGTAGAAGCATTGGCTCCAGTCTGTCTCTCAAGTCTATTTCCCGTAGAAGCATTGGCTGCAGTCTGTCTGTCAAGTCTATTTCCCCTAAAAGCATTGGCTCCAGTCTGTCTGTCAAGTCCAGCTACACAGCTGTCCTGAAATGCCTTGACCATGTTGCTTGCTAGTTGTACATTGGTAACTCAGCTGTCCTGAAATGCCTTGACCATGTTGCTTGCTAGTTGTACATTGGTAACACAGCTGTCCTGAAATGCCTTGACCATGTTGCTTGCTGGTTGTACATTGGTAACTCAGCTGTCCTGAAATGCCTTGACCATGTTGCTTGCTGGTTGTACATTGGTAACTCAGCTGTCAGGGATTGCATCTCATAAGTTCTTCACCCAAGTCACATCAGCTACTGCCCATGCGTCCCAAACAACTCATGATGTGATCCGATTTGTAAGAAAATGTAGCCTGTTTTTTTTAAATTAAACATAGCATGTTTTATTTTCTAAGTTACCTGCTGCCCCAGTTAAAGTAATAGATGTATGCTTTGAGCCTTATGGCTAGGTACTTGTTAGGCATCTCCGATGAGATCTTATGGGATTAAAAGAGTTAACCAGGTAAAGCTGTCACTTTGGATAACTGAATCTGGTCACCCAACCATACAAAGTCAGATAACCAGGTGGCTTAACTACACCAGGTCACATGTAAAGTGGGTTTTTGTTTGTCCAACTAGGTGCTGAAAACCACTTATGAGGTTTTGCACAAAAATAATAATTCTTTTTCTTTTCTTTTGTCATCTCGCTAATATCAGGTTATAGCCCAGTGTTGTGGTTTTTTCATCTCGCTGATAACCAAGTATTAGTCCATTGTCGTAGTTTTCTGTATTTGTCTTGCATTTCTCAGATGGCTTTGATGGTTGATGTGTTCATCTTTTTGCATGTTTCATCTGCACTGTTTATCCATTTCTTTCGGTCTTCCCTTCGCCTGCTTCCCAATGTTCTGCTGTATAAATATAGTTTGGTTTGGCTGCATTCTTACTAGATAGCCAAACCATTTCATTCGTTGTCTTTGTCTTAATCCAGACATGACCTTCTTCCAGTTTTCTGTCTAATGTAGGTATTCGTAGCCCTGCCCATTCTTGTGTTGTTAGCCACCTTAAGGAGACCGCCCATTATGCACATAGTTATTTTCTGTTCTAGTGTTCTGTTCATTGCTGCAAATATCATTGCTTTCATTCAATATTGCCAGGAAAATTCTAACCACTGGCTGTGTTGTAGGAATGAACAATTCATGAGATACCTCCAGGTTTCCAGATCTATTTAGTACACACTGACTGTACACGATGTAATATTTGAGATGTGTGGGGAATAGCCAGTCACGCAGCAGGCATTCTTGTGGACTGGAAGGTTTAAGGTGTTAAAAAATACACAGTAATGATCAATGATGATGAGAACAAAGATGACTGATGACTCCATTTCGAGCCTGGAAAGTTCTTGAGCAGTGGATATGCCTAATGTAAGCCACAGAAGAGGTGGGAGTTTGCCACCCAGATAAAGTTCAAGTGGAGAGAATCAGCTTCATGCCATCAGGTCTTCTCCCATAAAGTTTAGTCTCTCTCCACACCATGGCTCGCTAAAGCATGTACACCGTATCTCTGGCAGTGATCCCATAGGGGTATCTGTGAAAATTGCACTTGTCAACTGAATGATGTAGCCGTAAAATTAACCCATGTCCTTCAGAGCATGAGGCAAACAGCTTCACCAGTTTTCCATTCCGTAAGTTGGAATAAGCTCTTTGAGTCCCAGGGGGTTTAGCATCACAGACCCAGGGGGTTTAGCATCACAGGCCCAGGGGGTTTAGCATCACAGGCCCAGGGGGTTTAGCATCACAGGCCCAGGGGGTTTAGCATCACTGGCCCAGGGGGTAGTAAAGAGTGTCATAAAATCGGCGCATCGTGCATTCATTGGGCTTCTAGGTAGGAACCTATGAATGTATGATGCATTCTTTGGGACTCTGAGTTAAGGATACCCCCCCCCCCCCCCCCCCCCCCCCACTTTGTGCTAGGTCAGGTCAGTCAACTGAAAGTGTGTTATTGTTATATTCTTTACAGTATCATTCATCCACTCTCACCTGCTGTGCTCACCTTGTATGACCATTTTTGTTTTATCTTTCAGTTCTGGACTCAGCCACAACAGCCTAAGCTCCCCCCTCCCTCACATCTCTTCCATGGCGTCTCCTCGCTACTTCCCATACGACCCAATCGGATTCAGCCGCAAGGCAGATGCACCGGACCGGAACTTGAACATGGCCGGCGTACCCCGGGAGTCAATGATCGCCAATTCTCTCCTGAGCCTGCAGCATATCAAGAATTATGCTTCCCAGCAGATGCCAAGTTTCAACCCCACACCCAGCGCAGGCTCCCGATTGGCTTAGCCTTCTTTGGACATTGACTGAAGGACATCTAGCCCTGACCCCCTATCTCCAAATGAGGACAAGAACAGTCTGAAGGAAAAACCTAGTATCTACAAAACATTGTTTCATTAAAAGTTGATGATAACCAGATTTATTGCACACGTACACACATACAAAGAGCCCACCTGGCAAGTCAAGCTATGTTTCAGCATGTCATTTAGAACATCATTTCAATATAGAATCAATCCTAACTGGCCTTATGTTGAATCAGTAACAAAAGAGGCCAGGAAGTGTCTTTTTTCGGTCCTCTTCATTATTTTTTTTTAATTATTTTTCATTAAATTGTTCATTTTGAAATAGAACTGTGCCAAATATAAATTAACGTTCTTGGCAGTAACTTTTTTTTGGGTCTAGTTTACAGTAAAAATTGTTGAGCAGTTAACAAAGGAGAAAAAGTTATCTTACTCCAGATTAAAACTGAATTTTGTCTTGCAGCAGGCGACATAAACTTTTCAACTAACGCCAGTGCAATAAACAATATGATAGCTCCTATAAATAAGACGCTGACACTGTTAACTGTCTTTTTTTTTTCTTTTTTTTTCCGAAGCCTTAACTGGCAGAAAGCGCAGCTCTTGCTATGTTCCTAATTTTCTGGTCAATCTCAATTCTCATCAGTGATTGCCAAAGTTCACAGAAAGTTGTCAAAGTGAAATATGTCCAGGTTTTATATCCAGAAGTGATAAAGACAGGGTCCCAGGAGTTGGACAACCTGGCAGCTGAAGAAATTTTCAATTTTCTCTGAGAATAACAGTGACCTAATCTGTGTCCAGATTTCTTGCACTTGTTGCCAAACTCGTTTCATTACATTTTTATTTGTACATGCACAAACTCTCAATGCAAATATTTGTACTATAAGGAGAAGGAAGACACCAGTTTTGTAAACAATTTCTCTGTATTTTTATACATTTTTTTAGGCCTTGAAAATGTGGATTTTTTTGTTGTATAGACTATGTTCCTTGTTGAATGTACACAGGAACCTAGATATCGCAGAGTTTGTTCATTTGTTGAGGAAAGAAGTCTCACCATTTCCGCGCCAGCGTAGTTGTCCGCCTCAAGTCTGTCATGTCCCAAGTTTTTTTTTTTTTAATCTAACCTTTCGGCTTGAACCAGTCACCTTTCAACCTTGAACCTGTAGTCTTGAACCTGTCACCTTTCAACCTTGAACCTGTAGTCTTGATCCTGTAACTTTCACCCTTGAACCCATAACCTGTCACCCCTAGTAGTTCCTGACATAACAGTGCAGGTTTTAACAAGACTTTCTGGCAGCAGAATCTCTCGGCTACTGTCATGATATGTCAGTTGAGCTATGATTGACATCTCACTTGGGGTTGTCATTGTCATGTCCTTAGTTAAAACTGCCACAGACTTGTCAGTAGTTGGGGCTGTCATTAGCATGCCACTTATTTGAGTTGTCATTGACATTTCAGTAGTTGGGGCTGTCATTTATGTCCCAGTATGTTGTTTTCACTTCATCTAGATGAAGCCGCCATGGTGTAGTGGCTAGACGCTCGCCTGCACATCTGAAGGTCGTGGATTCAGATCCTGGTGAAGCCAGACATTGGTCAAAAATGACCTTGGCTCCCATGTCGACCCGGCCTTAAATGTGTAGCAGATACAGTCCTGGGTAGAAAAGATGGTCTGCGTGATGTTGATCACATCACCCACCGAGTACCGATCGGTCTGTAAAATATAGGGCTGGCCCTGTATGTCCAATACGCTTGAAGGCATGGAAAAAGATCTTTGACTTTACTGCATCCAGATGACAGTCTTAGACTGCTGTGTGGCATGCTGGTTGCCACCCTTGCAGCCATGAGGCAGCTAGCATGAAATTAACACAAAATGGTTTCACTGCTACTTGATAGGAATTAGAGTTCCGTGACTGTCAGAACTGTGACAAATGTCAGAACTGTGACAGATGTCAGATTTGTCATAGATATCAGAACTGTGACAGATGTCAAATCTATAATAAATGTCAGAACTATAACAGATGTAAGATCTGTCTTAGATGTCAGAACTGTGACAGATGTCAGAACTGTGCATGTGAGCTGATACCTAAAGAATTCAGTCTGCCGACCTGATGGCTCTTAAATGTTGCACACCCAGCATGCAACACCCAGCATGCAACACCCAGTAGTCCATCTGTGCCTTGGTGGCTACCAAACATCGATGTGTGAGATGTGGACACATGGCAGGGGATCCCCACAAGACTTTTCGATATTTCTGACACTGGAGATGTTGGTCCGTTTGTCACAAACAGCCAGTAGATTTCTGGAGCCCTAACTTTGGTAGGCCTTTAACTGGTGCCGGTGCTAACAAAAATTGCCCATGCAGATGCCGCAGAAGAGTATTCTATTTTGGGAGAAATATCCCATGTTGACAAGAATATTCTGAATTGAAAGAAATATCCCATTTGGGATACTCCCTGCTGGGAGAAATATCACATTGTGAGAAAAGTATTCCATGCTGGGAGAAATATCCCATATTCATAGGGACAAAAATATCACATGTTGGGAGAAATACCAAATGTTGGAAGAAATATCACATGTTGAGAGAAATACCAGATGTCGGCAGAAATATCCTGTTTTGGTGTGCACAAACAGTATCATAACTAACCTGTCCCTGCCTGATTCTTTGCTTAAGTTCATTCTTTAATGTCAGTCCCCATACATCTCAGCTATAATGTCAGTCCCCATACATCTCAGCTATAATGTCAGTCCCCATATATCTCAGCTATAATGACAGTCCCCATACATCTCAGCTATAATGTCAGCCTTCCATTCTCTTTCCACATTTGACAGGTTTTGCCAGATTTCTCTAAGTATATTTCCCCCCATTGTTTCCACATCTATTATTGACATGACAGATAATTCTGGGTGTAAATTTATCACAAATTTTGGCCAGGTAATTTTGAATGTAGATTTATCATAAGACTTGGTCAGGTGCAGACCTCAGCAAGGTTTGACCATTTTTTTTAAATTAGGTGGGTTTTGTTTTGATGTTGCCATACAAGATGTTTCTGTAAGAAATTAGGTGGGTTTTATTTTGATGTTGCCATACAAGATGTTTCTGTAAGAAATTAGGTGGGTTTTATTTTGATGTTGCCATACAAGATGTTTCTGTAAGAAATTAGGTGGGTTTTATTTTGATGTTGCATTACAAGATGTTTCTGTAAGAAAAAAAAAGGCACTGTATCCTTCAGGCAGGGCTAGATGTACTAGAAATAACTGTCAGCACTTTCCAGAAAGACTAATTCAATCAAGGTTGTAATCTGCATGGTTATTTCTTCACCATAAAACAAACATTCACAAGCAAGTGAGAATATTTTTCGCAGACTACTGCTTGGGCAGTTCTACACCCCCCCCCCCCCCAAACCATGAATCATGATGACCTTGAACCTGTAGACTGGAGCAGACCAGACAGAGGCAGATGGGAGACAATGCAGAGCTTGGTTATGTCTCTCCCATGTTCAGATTTCACGCGATGACAAGCACGTGCCCCAGCACAATCGGGTTTCAGTCTTCCCCAGCCAGACCTTGACAGGACCTCTCTGCATTTGCTCCCGTCTGCACAGTTTTGGCAGACATTTTAGTTTGCCATTGTTAGTTAACCTCTCACAGGTCAAGGTCGGACTGACCGGCTCCAAGACACTGTTCCCATGTCATTGAGACCACACCACACATCGCTCAAAGAGAACTTCCCCAGACACCACATTTATGAGACAGGACGAGTTGCAAAGGAGGGCATGAATTGAGCTTCTGAAGGGATCCGTCGTAGCCAGCTGCTGGACTGTTGGCTTGATCATCTCAGTCAAGGACACGACACTCCAACCATTGTATGTCATAGTTTGATTGAAGATTATTCAGTCAGGAAAACATAAATATGCCACTGGAGTGTTTGATTGACTTAACAGCGACCTGAAATAACGCAGATTATCATGAGAACTGATTTTGTCCTGGCTGTTTTAATCAAGTCCGAGGCCGCAGCGGCTGTGACGGAATCCTCCAGCATCACTCGTTATTTTCTGTGTTAATGTAGAAGTTGTGAGTAGTATTATTACTCATGTTTTTATTGTAGGTGTGTAGTCAGGCATGTCGGCCAGCAATGACCGACATACCTTTGATGTTGTTACCACAAGACTTCTCTCAGCTGTTGTCCACCATTTTGTGTGGCCCCGTGCCATCTTTCATTTTTGCCATTGTACACAATGTTGTCTGTGTTTACCTGCCAGATTTTGTTGTTTTCCTCATCTGTTTGTGATCAGAATTTTTTTCTGGGGAACTTTCTCCGAACCTTCTGTGTTTATAGCATTTTTTTTTTTTTTTTTTGGTGGGGAATATTTTTCCCACCTTCTGTGTTGATGGATTTTTGTGTGTTTGATTGTACATAGTTCATGTGATTCTCCTAATGTTTCTTTCCCTTGTACCTGATTAGGGCTGATTTTATTTATGTATTTAGCATTATTAATACAGTTTATATTTTATCATAAATAGTTTATATATATAAATATATATATATGTATAATTCTGTACATGTGTACACACAAATGTACAATACATAAAGTTTGTCAGTGTATGACTACACTGTTCTCAACACAAGTATTGATTCGATTTGTCACAGTGCGATCAACCATGAAGACAAAGTTTGGATAAATGTATGGCGCCAGAATCTTCCACCTGGGTGGCTAGGAAAGTTGCCTGCAGACTGTAAGGTGAAGGTCGCTGGTGGGGGAAAGGTCTGGCTGGAGGAGACTGAGACCCGAGTGCTGGGGGCGTGACTTGTCAGCGCGTGAGTTCAAATCACCTTCTTCCATCACCTTTCACCCTACAGTCCGGCGGTGACAGAGTAGGTAGTGGTCGTACTACGACGACAACTCAATTTTGATTCTGCAACATACGGAATAACCAGACATTTTTTTTTTTTTTTTAATTGAAATACTTTTCTTGAATGTTTTGTGTCTGATG